TCACTCTCAACTCTTGTTAACTCTTCTATAGTGATTTCTATGACCGGTCATGAACCATGGTACCTAACTTTTCTAATGAAAAGTCGCAACTCTTCCAAAATTATCAATAATTAAAGCTAAGAAAAGTTATTATTAAAAAAGTTCTCACTTAAACACTTTGTATAATATTAAAAGTAGGTCTGCTTGGGGTTTTTATTATTGTAATGTAACACAATATTTTAATTTTACATGACCATAATTCTAAGATTTTAAATTGGGAACTCGACATTTTCATAAAATTATGAATCTCAATATTTTTCATCGTGATAGACATTTCAATCGGCCCACAAATATTTATTAAGAAAAAAGACATTTAAGTTTCGAAATTTACCGAAACAAAAAAAAATACTTAATTCACCCGCTTCTTCTTAAAAAATGTAAGATAAAATTTTCTTAAAACTCATTAATTTCAATAAAAACCTAATTTTAGACTTCTAGTGTCATTTTTGTTTAATTCGGCCAATTTTATACTGACATATATTTTATAATTTGTTAATTAATGAAATCATCATGAATGGGCTCATTTTGGATCGAGGTGAATAATTAAAAAAAAAAATTGGAGAGAATAAACTCAAACATCGTGATAACCACCTACCTAAGAATTAACTTTTCGTATTAACGGATATAATATTTTTTTTTAGAATTCTTCGAACGAAAATTTATGAGAAGATAAAAACTGTCACACCTACTTAAATATAAGATCCAAGTTGATGAAATTAAAAATTTATACTTGTCGTAAATTTAATGTGTACAAATTGATTTTTTTCTTATTTGTTAAAAAATATTGTTTAACTTCCTAACCAACTTTATGACTCAACGTATACTCACACATATTCATTTCTATGGTCAATTTTTTTAGTACAATTTCTATGGTCATTCATAAAACATTTTTAAAAATGTACGATTCTTTAAGTTCAATAAGTTGAAATTTGAGCCAATAATAAAAAAAATGACGTGGTCTTAGTTTGTTTGTTAGTAGATAAACAGCTCATTGGGGATTCAAAAAGTCGTCTTCTTTTCTTCTTCTTCTTTTTTTTTTTTTAACAATAAAAAAGTCTTAAAACAAAACTAGCTTCGGACTCTCCGATTGCCCATTCCTAGAGAAAACTATATTTTTTATTAATTAAAACAAAAGTTCGCAATTTAATACAAAAACAAGAAAAAAAAATTAAATAAGTATTTTGTCTTTTTAATGGTGAGTGTTACAAAGGTTTTTGCTGGTTATTGACGCATAAGATAACAGTGTGGAATTTATGAGTGATGTCAAAAAAAAAAAATTATTATTATTTTTTTTGTTAAACATATAAATTGAAAATATATAAGATATTTGTTTTTTTTTTGACTGACAGTTCATCCGTAAACCTGGCTGGTGAGTGGTGACAGACTGACAGTTGAGCATTTCCCAATAATTTATATACTTCACATGATTTTGCACATTATAGCTTTAGTTATAACATTAAGAAAATCACTCTCGTGCAAATTACATGTCAACTTTTTAAAGAAAATATCAAGCTACCATGTGTTTTTAGGGATCTCAAACGTTTGATATCTTCCTCGTTAAAAACTTTTTAGATTATTTATCATGGGTTCAAATTCTCATACTAATAAAAATTAAATATCTAGAAATATAAATGCATCTTTAAATAGATAGATAGTATGTTTGTTTAGAAATTCTCAAGTACAAATATTCATCTTCAAATATACATATTTGAATGTAAAAAAAAGAAAAATAGACATATTTGCTTTGTATGAAAATTCATAACGATGTTCTGAGGATAGTTGAATAGCTAAATTTGTTTTATAGTACTTATGCGTATTCCCACGAATGTTACAAAATTATATACTTAGTTCTTGAAAAAAAAAACAAATATTCATTCAATCTGTAAATTGACTTTTATTTTTTTCATTTCATTTAATAGTTTGTTTTTTTTTTCTATCAACTTGGTTTATATTATCTCTAAACGTAATTTGGTAGAACACGTTAATTTATATTAATTTGATAAAACATTTAATATTAACTATTAATTTCAATTTAAAATTGAACTATTTTATCAATATAAAATTATATGATTGATGACATGTTTTGATTATATTTTTACACTATCAAATTAGAAGAAAAAAATTGCGGGGTATGATAACATCAGTTTCTATGGAATTCTAATTTTATTTTCCATGTATAATTAATAACAAATTTGAGAGAAGTTACAAACATATTAAAGTTTATTTGATAGGTAACTGTAATATATAAAATTACTTAATTGCAAAAAGTTATTTATTAGTGATTGAATACATTAAGTTATTTTAATTTTAAAATTAAAATTAAAAATAAATAAAATTAACAAAAGAAAATATATGGAAGAGAAAAAAGAATGAATGAAAAAAATGCAAGGGAAAGATAATTTAGAAATTTTGAAAATCGTGCTTTAAAAAAGCATACAAAACATCTCAATGCCTTCCGTATAGGTATAAGATAATGCCTCAGCGTGAGAATTCAAATGTCCATCTCATAAAAAACTTGGATTTTCAAGAAACATATGGTTTCTAGGAGTATAATTTTTCTTTTTTTTAATAAGATAACTTAAAAAGTAACTTTTTTCAAACAAAAAGAGCTCCAGAGTATATTTTTCT